GATGATGATGATGATGATGGCGGCAGTAGGAGGGACATTGACATAAGAGATGATTATGATGATAATGATACCATAGTGATGATGATATCAATGATTATTATTTATTATATTGTTTTTTATTTATTTATTCTTTCTTTATATACTGTAGGTACTTTCAGTACTGTTGCACTGATTTTAAAAGTGGAAAAATTTAGTGATGGCAATGTTGAATAAAAATCATGACATTTACAACATTCAATAGAAATACTGTCTTACCTTCAACAATGATAGCTGCATTATAGTTTAATTCCTTGAATATCTGATTGAGTGCCCACCTATAGTGACGAGCAATTTTATAATAACCTATAAACTTTTTATGCTGCACGGGCACTTTAATCTCACTTAAGTCAGGTTGCTGCAAAAAAAAAAAACAACAAAAAACGAAAGATAAATCCACATAATAAAGATAAAGAGGATAGACGATTTAAAGGATAAGAGGCCTTATGTGGAAATGAAGAGAAGAACGGAGGACAGATGCTAGTGGAGGAGTTGGCGGCCAAGAACCTGCCTGAAGGCAGAACACTAAAGAAGAAGAAATTCACATAATCACCAACATAGCACAATCTAAGGGAATGTTTAAGTCAAGAATAATTGAATTGTCATGTTTAATTAATGCACAACCATATGGTGTTTTTCAGGTGATCAAAATACTGAAAATTGGTAGAAAAAATTATTACTATCTATTATCTTTTTTTTTATATTATCTTTTTTTTTATATTGTTGGGCGTACCTCTTTTTACCATATGGTTACATATGTTTCAATGTACTGCGATATAATTCAGTGTGTACCGTCAGTTCAATGAACTCTATATACTGTGATATATTCATAATATTCAAGAATTATGTTTAGAATTTGTGGAAATGTATAGTGCAGTGGCAAGGCTTTGGACTTTCAATACATGTCACGACTTGGAGGCCGCCCTCAATGCTTGTGCTTTTGAGCAAGACACTTTATCTCGGTTTGCCTTTCTTCACCTCCTAGAGTATAAATTGGTACTTCGTTTCTGTAGGCGGTGAATGATTTGGAATAAAAAATGACTAGAAATACTTCACAGGGAGTAAAATATGCAGGAGAAAAAAGTTTGTAATATGCTAAAAAAATTTGAAAAAAATGAAAATAGAATGTTGCAAGACCATACCTTTATCAACCTTACTTTATCACCATAGCTTCGAATTACTTTTTCTGTTTCTGCATGCCCACAATCCTGACTCACTACAATTGGAAATTGTTTTTCTGATGGCCGATGCCTGCAAAACAGAAGATAAATTCATTATTAGCCATACCAATCTAATAGCGCTGCAATTTTTGTCTTCAATTTCTTATTTCTCATAAAAAAAAAAGACAAAAATAACTCACAAATTAATAATAAAAATACATATTGAGAATGACAAGTTGCATGTAGAGTAACACTTGTTCACTATATGTTACACAGTTGCTTTGGGTTAATTTATAAAATGTTACAATAAAATTTATAAAGTTATTGATTTAAAAAAAAAAATTACTATTTCCTTCATTTCAAACAGCAAGTAAAATTGTCAATTACAGTAGCGGATACACCATAGTGCTGCAATTTTCTGTTTTCAGGGATGTAGTTATGGTGGGCAGGGACACCCAGCTTTGAAGTTTTTCAACCAGTATAAACCTAAATTCATGGCCCTTCACCCACCCTTATTAACCCACTTTTCTATCCTAAAAAATTCACTCCTATTATTATTAAGTTTACCAGTGTTCTCACGCACCCACTTCAAAATGTCTATCACCCACCCATAGTTTTCTACAGCTACAATTCTGTGTTTTGTACAGTAAATCAGTTGTCTTTTGGTCAAATGGACAAAACAAAAATACAAAGAAAATTGTATTTATGTTTAACCTCTTAATATCTTAGGCGGAAATAATTAAGAAGGGTTTCTGTACTCCAGTGGAATGTGCAATATAAGACGACATCAATCAATGGGTTTGATGTATAGGAAACACATCAAGGAAACCAAACAGCCGACAGCTAAAACAACTACCTAAATGTGAAATAGAAAGATTATGGTAAACACAGAAATGCCTGCAAGTGTTGTCATCATGTGATTCAATTGGCAATAAAGGTTTGGATGTTGAAAGAAACTCAGGTTGTGGTTTTATTCTGTTCAGACATTTCAATCAATCTTAGAATAGGTTTTAAGTAGCTGCAGCATAAATGACTCATTAGGGTATATAGCCATAAACAGTATAGCAGAGCAAACATAACAATGAACATTCACAATACATGATAGATACTATGCCAAATTTCTGGTACTGTAGCTTAAGAAACCTCCCAAACCAACAGGTCTGGGAAAGGAATCTGAACCAAAGGGCTACCCCTCCAATCCCACATGACTGGTGTCAAAGGAGAATCTGATATAGAAACAGGTGCTTTTTTTAGAACATAACATGCATAACTGCACTCACATACTTTAGTTGGATGACAAAATATTTTTATTCGAAAACCAAAGTGGCACGACAACAGAATTTCTGTGCTTGTACAATGGGGGAAATTGCCACCTGATACCCGACGCATTGTCAGTGCAAAAAGTTTGTAGTCAATCCTATAATGCACCTGGGTCACAGCAGTGACCCCAAGAATGTGCTTTCCCTTTCCAGATGTTTCCTTTCTTTCACATAGTAGCTAGCCAAAATAATAAACTTGAACATCAATATTTACCTCTTCTTTCCTGAATATATACTCCCTGTATTAAAATAAATAAATTTCCTAATTATTTAATCTAATTTTAATTCACATTTAATCTATCATTTAAACAATGAAAGTAATTAGTTTTTTTAAAATTAAAAATAAGTATTAATTAATAAGATTAAAAATATGTAAATATAATTTCTATACTCTTTGCAAGACCCTATTTGGTTAGATAAATTAAGGTAAGTAAATTGGTGAAAACAATTTTTTTTTCATTTGCATCTTATTTGAATGATAATTTTTTAAAAGTTCAGATTTCACAAAATACAATGTATAAAATATTTAACAAATACAGTACTAAATGTAGATGCCAAGTTTGCAGTCCATCCTTTCCCTATTGCACCTGGGTCTGATAAGTGACCACATGAATCTTAAGCTTCCTTCTACTTAACATGGTTTCCTGTTTTCTCTGCATGTTCATCTTTAAAAAAGATTGAAGATGGACATTCTGTTTGCATTCAATGTGTCTGTCTTCCCTCATGTCAATGTGCCATATAATGTTCATTCTTCCCCTGTTTATAGTTTAGCCAATAATGGGTCTCCTGGGACGAATACGGCAACCATCAATGAGCATAATGTTCAGGTAATCGGTAACTTCTAGTGTTAATACATTCTCCGTAAAGCCTGTATTAGCAATTCCGATCTAGACACAGATATTGAAGTGCTGGTCAAAGCCCAACAACTGGTTTAAATGAGTGTTCAATAGTAAATCCAGTTTTTTGTACTGCTGTACTTACTACACACTTGAAAATTTGACTTATTTGTTTATGAACAGATGACATCTGGTAATTATTCACATCTTTTGTCCAGTCCTGGCACATATTTTTTTTTTTTAACTTTTATTTTTAACTAAAAAAAAAAAAACAAGCTAAATTTTTAAGATGTTGAATTAATTAAAAAAAAAAAAAAAAAAAACAGAGACAAAAGGCTATCCTAAAAACTGAAAAGAATTTTCTAAAGTTCTCACCTACCATATAAATTTCAATATAGACTATACAATTTAAAATCGATAATATAAATGGTACATTCCTATATTTATCCCTATTGTTAAAATGGAATCATCTGCACATAGGGCATAAATCACACTTGTATATTTTGTTCCATTGCAAAATGGCAGAAAAATATCAAAAGTATACTTGAAATAAATAGAAATGATGGATTACTCTGAAGGGTTCTTTAACAGCAGCCAGCAGAATTGATACAACTGTCATGCTGAAGCATCTGTTATGTCAATTTTGCTCAAATTGGATCATCTGACAGTTTTTTAAACAGATAAACTACTTTCTTATATAGTTGTACCAGTAGTTACAGAGAACACTGGTGAATTATGCAATGTTCTCTGACTATGCTGAGGCGAGAACTAATGTATGTGAACAAACCTGGATGAAAATGTCCTGTCCACTTCAGACATGTACTACTGTAAAAAGATACAGCATTACTGTACCTTGATGCTCCCTACTCAATGCAACCATTTAGAATTGCAAGGAAAACTGATGGAATTATCACTTAAACCTAGTATAAATAAAAAAATGTTCTCCCTGTTTGGATCAACTTAGTTCATTCATAGAGAAAATAGAACTATGGTTCATTGAACAGTCTTCTGTTAAATACTGTAGGTACCGTACAGAACCATGTAGTTGCAACTATCATAGTTACATGAAAAAGTAATACAACAATCATCCAAACAAACTGGATAGAAATATCAGACAACTACTATCTGAACTAGTATGAACAAAATCTATTCTGTCTGTTTGGATCAACTTGGATCATTGAATGGTCTCCTGAAAAGTACACTTTATCTTGGGACAAATATTTTACAGGTGCATGATCTTAGATGTGTGTATGTAAATTTATTGCAATGATCATCCAAAGAAACTGGAAAAAATTATATATTTTGCCATTTTGAATAAACTTGGATCTATCTTTAAGTTTCAGGGAAAAATGGTTGAATTATTCTAGGCATACATTCAAAACAATCTTATAGGTTACAGTTGCAATAAAATTGTGCAATTGTCTTAAGGTTACATGTAGAATTGGTTAAATTATTCTTAAGTCAATTTTTATTTGATTAATTTGACAAAGGGTAATTCTACCTATAGTCAAATTGTATCGATTGCATGGAGAATTAATTACATTAATTCTCCATAAATTTATGTAACTATCTCAGAATTGACTAGATGAAGCTGACATACATTGGCAATGAAAGCTTGTGAATAATTTTACTTTATAGTTAGTCACAGAGTGCTATGTCTATTTTTACAAATCTACCATCAATTTGACTAACATGGATGAACCCACCATATATTATTATAATTGGTGCAAATAGCACAAATAATTGATACCCATAGTGTTAAGAAATTTTACAACATCCAAACAATTAAGAATAATCACAATACCAAGGTTTCACTCAATTACTTTCCATTTATGTACCATTCAAATGTAATTAGGAAATTGTGAGCACAATTTCAAAGAAATCCTAATATATCATGCAATAAAATAAAATTTTAATTAGCAGACTAATTGAAAAGCACATTCCTCTGTGTTATGAAAAATTAAATATTATATCATCATTACTTACCGTAACAGTGTGTCTAAACTCCTTTTAACAGCAGTTGGTCTATTACAGGCTATCAATAACACAGGTAAAACAACTGATGAAAAACTATAATCATTTTTAATTCTTTGTTGTGGTAGATGGTTGTTGACAAGAACTGGTTGTTCCAAATGTTCTTTTTTATTAAGCTCTTCTAATTTTCTCTTATACTGTGAAATTTCTTGAACTTTTTTTTCTGTAGCAAAATAGACAGAAGAGGAAATTTTACTGATGTATTTTTTTTTTAAATTGGAAATAATAATTATTCATACATTTTCAATCTCTTTTCAAAAGAAAATATCAGAAATCAAATTTTTTTGTGTCAGTTTTTGCATTTAAATATAATCAACATTATGATTATTATCATAGACCAGATCATAAAATTTTTGATATTGTTTTTTCTAATTAAAGACCAAAAATGCTATAGACCATGAAAACACTGGTGGCAAAAGGGGTCTTTAATTGGAGGGAGACCTGTATTTTTCATTTAGAAATGATATGTTTACCTGTAGTTTATTGGAGGATCTGTTATTCGCATTGAAATCTTTGCATGTATCCTTCAAAATATATTTAGAAACTATCCATGCTTATACCTTAAACACTAATAAAATCAAAACCAATGATTATATTGAATTTCCAAAATGTCGGCAGTTGACAGTCTGATATAAAGTAATAATCAAGAGAAGGCACTTTTAAAATTAATTTCAGTTGATCTATTTAGCATGATTTCGGAGGCATCAAGTATCTTTCATTAAATTCATCGTATCTGATGAACGAGGCTTGATGCCTCCAAAAGCCAATACTAAGTCGTCTAAAGCTTGTTTTATCTGTCACTTGAAAGGGTACCGTAAACATTTTTCATTCAGTATGTCATCTGTATGTCATGTTGTATATTGTTTTCGGTGCAATAAAAAAGCTAAGAATATTATAACACTGAAGATAGACGATTTAGAGTTTATCGCTACAAATACTATTGCTTATTTAAAATTAAATAGTTGAAGAATCTTATCAGTTTGAATACTTTGGCAAGGGCATCATTGATCTCTGTCCATGTGTGTGCAATACGAACGACTGTACTGTAGTGATATACAGTACACCCACAAATTTAATATAAACTCAGTATCATTTAATATAAATTCAATATAAACAAAAAGATAAATAATAATGACAGTGCTTAAATATGTGTATCTAATTTTTTTTTATGCATGTTTAGCAGATTAAATCCTTTATCAGATCATTTCAGCAACAACACTTTTCTTCACTAAACATCAGGAAAACACACAACATACTGCGGCTTTGCAAGTGGGATTTTCACACCTACAGTATAGCAGCATGTGAGAATAAATATAGCAAGTCAAGTGTGATTTCAAATTACTCTAAAACTCCTGTCAATATGTATCTATGAATACTGAGGTAACTACTGTAAGAGATCAACAAAGCGGAATTTAATTTTAAAAAGCAACGTAGAATGTGAAGTGTCAATTTCAATCTTTTAACAAACTGAGCTGTGAAGATTTATGTGACAGCAATTAAAAAGCGTCCTTCTCAAATACTCAAAAACTTCATATCATTCAAAAATTCATAATGTTAAATTCTGCATGCAGTAATATCTATGGACAAAGATTGTATTTCAGTAGATAAGTCAAGAATTCTACATTTGTCCTCCTCAACTTCGTTAAAATTTTAGCGGAATATTATTTATTATTATCCTTTATTTAAAAATTAGGACTGGTTTAAGCCAAATAAAAAAAATTACTTGTTTCTCCCTCGCGCATCCATCTTCTCCGCCTCACCAATTTAAAAAAATTTTTGTTATCCCCTTTATTTTACGAAATGTACGAAAATCTAGCAAACTCACATCAGTAGAATTCTCGTGTTTGGGGATACATATGGTATGAATCATGTCTAGTGCTTCCTTCATTTGCTTTCAATGTGTCTGCTTGGTAAAAATGAGAAAGTAGTAGTTTTTTTCCATCAACCATCTTGGATTTGCCATCTCGGGGTCAAAAGAAAAGGTGCCCTCATTCTACTTTTTTCAAAAAATTCAGACTGAGAAACTACTTTTTTTTTTACTTGACCTTATAAATCTCTTGAACTTAGATTCTTAATTTCTTGTAATATGATATACATACCGTAATCATTTTTTCTTTTTGTTATGCACTACTATTTGTTAAATTTTTTTCTTGAAGTTTGAGCCTTGGTTTACTAAACAACGAATTACCAAAAAATAGATGGTATTGAAGTTAAATTACAATTATAGTCAAATTCCGAAAAATCTCCTTCAGGAATTATCCAAATCTGGTATTGATCTGTACCTAAAAAAGTATTAACTTGAAAAAAAATCTATCCTAGGATTGTTTTTCAAAAGTCCACAACCACTGCACACTTTTTCAAATTATATTTAATTCATTTTCAATTTATATTTCAATCTTTTTAGTTATTAATTTTTTTTTTATTTCATTGTTTAAAAACTAATTTAATTTTTCTGGATCCCTTTGGAAAGAAACCTTCAGGTTTAAAGGGTCATCGGTTTTTTTTTTTCTTTTTTCTGCTTTTGATGTGGTTCCTTTACTGATTGGTGATTTTTTTTTCTTTTCGTTTTTAGATGTGTAAAACTGTGTCTTTCTTTTCTTTTCGTTTATGTTTTGGAAACTGCTTTTTCTTTGTACGTGAATTTTTCCTGTAATTAATCATCCAAAATTAGCAAATATATTACACTGTTCTTCATTAGAACATACTTAAAAAATAATTTGAATGTATACTAACATCATTATTTTACCAGTTTTATAAATAGAATAATAATAGGTACTTACTTTGTAATAAAATTTCCTTTTCTTTATCAATATCTATAAGAAGCTGTTCATTGACCTGCATTTGGTCTTTCAATTCAGCTTGCAGACGAGCAAGCCTTTCAGATAATTGGGAAGCCGGCTACATAAAGGAAAAATAAACAACATTAAATAACAATAACGATGAGGTAGACAGTACAGGTAAACTGTACTTTACGGACTTTACCAGCGTTGAATAAACCATGAACTTTCGTACAGTAAACTCTTTCCTGTGATAACAATTTCACATAACACTTTCGAAGATGGATTTATTAAATCTATTTACTTTTTCCTTTACATTTTCATTTTACCTGGGATCAGTGTTTGAAATATTAAAACATTATTATTCCTCTGAATCTAGCAAATACTGTATAATCAAATGACTGCAGATCTTTACAGAATGAAATCGCACTTAAAAGTACCAGTCATAATAAAAACCTTACTACAGTACAGTATATCACATACTGTGAATACAATTTATACACGAAATACCTAATATAAGAATTAAATACTTGGATGCACCTTCATTTGATCGTGTTGCCACTGATGTACAGTATAAAAGTGTAGTTCATAACTTATTAACACGTTGGCTGCCAGCGACGATTATACTCGCTCACAGGGTGTTGCTGAGGGCGCGTATACTCGTCAAATCGGGGGAAACATTCTAGAGTTTATAACTTCTTTATTATACATTTTAGAACCACAGACTCAACGGCTGGTAGTTCGGGGAAGATACACCTAGACGATAACGTACAAATGACATGTATGTCTGTTGTGTTATGTTGCCGGTAGTACACTCGAGCGGTACAAGTGGGGGCGCTCTTTGGACATATACCAACCCATGCAAAAAGCGGACGAGATAACTCGCACTTGGCATAGTCAATAAAAAATTCTATCACAGTGCCATCGACGAGTATACTCGCCCCCTAATATTTTCCCGCCAGTTTATTAGACACTTCATTTTGATGACATATGACTAGATAAAATTTCAAAAAAGTATGTTTGTACATGTAAACTTGTTTGGCACACGGGAAGGAACCTTAAAAAAAGGTCTGGCAGTCAACGTGTTAACAAGACTAATATAATAAATTGAGAGTACTTTTATCTACAAATATTAATAAAAATTAAACCAAGACAGTAAATCCAAACAAATTTGAGAAGCAATAATAAAGTGTAATAAAAAAAATCATAAATTCATAGATATCGTCCTTGTAGCTTTACAGCTAAATTGCGACTAAGTATAACAAAATATCAGTCACGTTGTTTACAGTATAGTTCTACAGAAAGTTCCTTACACACCATCTGTTTTACTAGCAAACGCTAACCTCGTCGTCGATACTGTTGAGTGCAAGCCACAGTATAAATTACTTTCCAGTGGATGTACAGTTTTCTTTATCATATCGTATTTGTACCATGTAAACTTAATTTACACAGTTTGGTGTACCTTCCCCATAATTGCTATAAAGCATAATGGTTGATTTCCATATAGTGTAATACTTGAGAGGCTAGTGTGTATACACATGCCCATTTCATCACTCCATGGACTCATTCATCAGCCTCTTTACAGTAAAACCTACAAAATTACACCAGGAGGCATAATAAATCGCATTCAGTATGCTTTTCTGCCTGGGTATATGCAAAATGGGGATAAAACAGGCCAAGAACTCTGTCTTCAGTTCAATGCTCATAACTGTAAAGCATGCTAATGCTAGCATGTATACCAGGCTTTATTTTAACTTTATTCTATTTACATCCAACTTCTAAAAAGTCTGCTGGACAACTGACCCATTAATGGACAACTCAGATACCTGTAGCATCGTATGACGCAGCCTGACGTGATTTATCATCAGGGCAGCCTTTAGGTTGTCATGAGAATATTAAGCATGATTATTATACTATGACATTAAACATTAATATTCTACGACCCGACTATACTTACCGCAGACCTATCGCGTCAGCGTTCAACTCACACAGACCCAATGCGACAACAAACCATGTCATGCTGCATCGTACGACGCTGATTTAGACTTAAGTTTGATTTACAAAGGATTCTGGATTCTACATAAAAATTTATCCAGATCTAATTTAACCAACCATCCCACCTCCTCCACCCACTGATCTCTACTATAATAGCTGGATTGCTCATTGGCTGCTTTTAGTGAGGCCACTGATGCCATGTTGGAGGGCTTCAATGACGTATCAGTTTAGACAGTTTTCCTTTGGCATTTGATTAATTAAATTATTGTTAAAAATAAAGATTCTTGTAAAACTTTTAAATAATAATTTAAATTGAATAAAAATTTTTTTTTAAATCATCGAACCACTTGACGTGACTGTTTATGCAGTTTAAAAAAGCGCAAAGCAAAGTTATTTGCGCTGTTAGTGATCGATGTCACTATAATAACGCGACTTCGCTAGTGATTTTGTAAACTGCATAAACAGCCGCTTTGAGTGGTTAGAGGATTTGAAAAAAAATTCTTATGTAAATTTAATTTTATTATTGAAAAATATTGCAAGAATCATTATATTTAATTAACAATAATTTATACAAGGCCCTTAGGCACTCCAACATGGCGTCAGTGGCCTCAATTTTTTTCTGTACAATGATTGGCCGATGATCAATCCAGCTATTATAGTACAGTACTGTAGAGGTCAGTGGCCCCACCCAGAGAGTTTGTACACTTTTTTTAACATAACCAACAGCTTACAATACATGCCTTATTCAAAATAACCAACTATATACCATTGAAACTTATATTTCGGTCTTCAATCTGAAACATAAGAAGCAATCGAACTGAACCAGGGATCAAAGGTCAGAAGCAATCTCCATGGTTGAATGCACACAGTGCCACAATGGTTACTACCAGTTCTGCTGATTGATTGACTGCTATAATAAATTATCTTTCAAGACAAAATGTTGTCATTGCCCTTTTGTGTCTTGCAATCCTTGGCCTAAAGGCAATATAAAAACCTCTAAAATAATGTTAAAAAAAAAGAACAGAGGATTCATGTACAATCATTAAAATTAAACATTTTGTGATAAATGTTCATGAATATTTTTTATCATGGTCATCATGTTTCCTGGAAACAATCCTCTACCTCTTGGGAAATACAGTATGAATCAGTCTAAAGTGGGGAGAATGGGTTGGGAAAACATAAGTTCATAATTTTTAGGTGCGAAGATGTCAATTTTCAATGTCAGAGATCAATAAAAACATCCTCTTGAAAATCAATACCAAATGCTATAAACCATTAAATGTTACTTTGAATCAATTTAAATATTTCTGTATAGATATTTCAGGATATTGAGTCAGTAATGTCAGGAAATAGTAAAGTGTTGTTTTGTCTGTTCCATTTGTGACCTTTAAACTGCTCCTAATGCTTTGGTCAGTACAGTCTGTAAATCATTAATATAGGTCTGCCTACACATTAATGCTATCATAAAGATAAAATGGGTTGAATGAATTTTTGTATTACTCTAATGGGAGGAAGTTAGAAAAGGCATTATGTTTCTGTAGTGGCCAAACAGTTAAATTGATACTGTTAATAATCTGGACATAAATTAAACAAGTAAGCATATTGCATTGCACTAAACTCATATAAATCCTATTGAATGTGTGAGAATTCCAACTAATGCTGTCATTTTGACAAGGTGTGCTAGTTATATCTGTTCTGTTCTGTTCATCCCATAGTCAAATTGACCGTTGGGGCACCGCAGATGACCTGGCAATCAGTTCTTTTCATCACTCTTGATCCTCTGTCTTTCGTAGTGTCTCGCTGTCCATTCTCTGATGTTGTCTTCCCATCTCTTTTTCTGTCTACCTTGTTTTCTGCCTCCCTGCACAATTCCTTGCAGGATTGTGTTGGCAAATCTGGATGATCTTGATACATGTCCATACCACTTTTCTTTTCTTTACAATGGTCAGCAGATCTTCGTATGGCCAAATCGTTCGTCTTTACTCTGTTCCTTACAGTACCTTTTCATTTGTGATGCGGTCTTTATATGAGATGCCAAGAATCTTTCTAAAGAACCTTGTTTGTTTTTCTTGTTTTATATACATGATCAATATTAGAATCTAAATTTTTCCAAGTTGCTATTAGTTCCCATGCTTTTCATCTTGTATTAGCTAAAACACATTTGTAATCTGGACTTTTTTTTTTGGAAAAAGAAGTAGATATTCCTATTTATCACAATAACAAAGGTTATTTTAAACTGATAATTGAGATAGAAACGTTTCTCTTATCATTGGGTTTTATTCCAAGTAACAAGTAAAGGATAAACAATCCACCAAGAGAAACTGTTGTTAGCCTACTGGACACAAAATTGTTTCTATGCACATCCCATATATTTTATGGGCCTCGTTTCTACTGCCACAGGAAATTGTTCTTTGAAAGAACCATGTCTAGAAATCCTGTTGCTTAAGCCGATAGAAACATACCCAAATACACCCAGTCACACTTCTAGGCCTACTGTCAGGCCAAAGACAGCCAATGATACTCATTGCTTAAGAGCGAGTGAATAAAGGATTTTATTTGGCGAAGCAATAGAAATATATGTGTTATCATCACCATCATCATTTCAGCCATTTTCAGCCCACTGACTCTAAGGCGAAGAAGGGTCTCCCGAAGCTGAAACCGTCTACTTCTGTCCTCTGCAATTCTCATCCCTGACATGCCAGCAAGTCCTACAATTTTATCTCTCATTCTGGTTTTGGATCTTTCCCAAAGCCATTAAGGAGGTCATCCATAATTTTTAACAAGAGTACAAAACATACTTTTTCTGTTATCCCCCTCTCTCCCCCCGAAAGATTACACAATAAAATGTTGATTTGTGTCATTTTGAGATCAACATTTTATCTTTTTCATAAAAGGGTACTTATGCTTACACTTTCAACCACCACCCCCACCCACCCTAAAGCGTATGTTTTGTACTCTTATAACCTGATAATATAATTTTTAGTATTTGGCTATACATGATACTTATAGGACGTCTCAATACTTTATTCTAAGTGGATTTATGAAACCATAAGAAAAGTACCTTTAAATCAGTTAATTACATCACCCAACAAGTGACCAAATATGGTGAAAAAAACCAGCATGTAC